TTTCTGCTATAATCTGGCCTGTCCATATAGGTGCAGATTTTTTGTCTATCCGAGTTTGTAAGCTTAAAATGCATACAGAGTTAGATCCATCAGTTTTGATGAAGGACTAGTCTCCTCGTTGTAACGAACGAACTACCAATTTTCTATTTGGACTCAGAACTAACGAACCGAGATTTATTCGATTAGACCTGACTACGTTCTTCTGTATAGTGTACGAAGCGTTTTTGAGTTACTCGTATTAATTTATATCAAAACCCAAGCTCTGTGCTCAATTTAAACGGTTCTCTAGAAGGAACACTTACTGATTCAACAGCAAAATTGTAAATCACAGAAAAGTAGATGAATAATGCAGAAAATGTGCAATAGTGACTTGATAAATAGTAAACGAACACCTGATAACCTGGGAACACCATGCTGTAGGAAACGACAAAGAAATGTTTCAAAAATACGCACTCAACTATCCATAACGACAGACTTTCCAAGGATTGAAAACTCAATTCGTATAAACTGGTGATTTTTGTACTTGATGACCGCCTGATTTCAAATTCTAAATATTATACGTTCGTTTGTGCTCATCTAGTTCTGTTTGGTTTATATTGTGTTATTTCAGGGATTCCTAGTTCCTATACTAGTTTAAATACTTCTAATCATCACACCAGGGATAGATTCAGTCAGCTGGATGAAATGATACCAATCAAAAGGACGATCATCTGTCACGACAAACTTAGTAACTCAAAATGTTCAGTAGAATAAGGATGAAATTATTTTCAGAATCCTAACAACATCCAAAAGTTGACTGTACTCCAGAAAATGAGAACAGGTAAATTCTAAAAAATTCATAGGTACAATCAATAACAGAAAGAATGAGAGATATAAACAATGAACAAATAGATAAACAAGAGGTTTAAGGCATACCGTGAGAGATTTACCCATGCACTTTCAATTCGTGAAGTGCGCGACAATCGTCTTATGGGAAACAATTTTATTTTTAACAGCTTGTAACAGAAAACTGAGTATTTGATGTTAATCCTCGGGCCAAATAACCTTTTCGACTCATGTTTGTAGACTTAAATTGGTTTCATTCCCCACAGAGAAATCCTCTTGTAAGCTAAACTACACAGTTAAGTTAAGGGAGGTGTTTCGTGCCTTAAGGTAACCCTCGTGCTATTGATAGAAGAAACCAGACAAGTAGTGAATAGGTCTTTATTTCGATCTTCGCTCAGTCACAGTGGAGCATGGGATTATCTGTTCAGACAAACAAAGGCTCTCAACATTCAATATAAGATAATGGGAAATAAAACGCTTATACAAATTAAGGAAGTGAAAAAATATTTGAACTATATTGTTTTGGCACATGCTTGGTTGTTTGAGGTCAACTCTTAACCAACCAACCTAAGCTGTTACAGGTGCACTAATGGCTTAATAAAAATTCTATTTTTAATAACTGCTATGAAACAAATTCATTTGTGTTTCCGAACACTGTGTTTGCCTCATTATATTTTAGATATCTACTCAACCTTTTACACTCAGTTCTTTTGAATCTCTATTTATACAGTATTATATCCACTCGTCGCCATGCTTAAGCCTCGTTTCTTTCAACATATCAAAATACATATTCACATGAATCAACCTAATTAAAATGAATAAGCCTAAAAAGTCATTCTTTCTTTATTCCGTCATATATCGTATTGTATTTAGAACTGACGGTATCCGCAAACACAGCAGGCATTGATGTTTTGAGTCCTGGAATGTCTTTCCGTTTCATTATTCAAAAGTTCCATACTCTCTTAACTGTTTCCATTTGCGCAGTCCAAACAGGTATACTATTAAATCAAGAGGTTCCAAGATGATTCAAGTGATCATTCTGGTATCCATAGTCCAAGCCTTTTAATAATAAAACTAGTGAACAAATTAACATAAAACGTCACTACAAATATTGGTGAAACCATGCAGACATTCCCAAAAGCATCAGTAGAAATTGAACTTTAAATCTGAAACCGTTAGCTTTTCTGTCACCTCAGAGACAGTAGTATTATAAGGCATCTTATTTCCTCCGTCCTTTTTTAATAGCAAGAACTATTCGAACGGCCAGAATTTGTTTCATACACTCTTGTCTATGTAAGAAAAGCGGTTATTCTCCTTCTCATCCAGCGTGAAGAGTAGCTGATATTTTATATATAGACCCACAATGGTAATCAACAGTAATACTGTTGGATTAATAACGCACATCACATGATTGTCTACCCCAAACATCCCTATCGTGTTAGTTAAGGGAGACGTTGCGCAAAAATTACGAAGAGCTAACTTAACATTATCCATAAAACGGCACGTCTTATGTAAAGACGAAAGTTTACACACTGATTACATCTGGGTGTTTGGGCCATGTTGTCTTGATTATGTCCCTCACCAAACCTTATTGCACTCCGTTATATTACATTTACCATTCAATGTCCATCGCAAATCTCCCTAATAGGTGTACATCCAGCTTGAAGTATTATGTAGTGAGGTAACAGTGTTATTCGCTTGTGACTGTAAAACTTCCAACTCGTGTCTCCCTGGTGATGCTAGTATTATACATTCTCCCACAAATAAAAATTTGAATGTTACAGTACTTGTCACTGTATATATCGTTTTATGAACCTTTCGCATCTAATAAAAGAAATTCTATCACAATTTTTTATCCTTGAAGCACGAAGTAATCGATGAACAGTGAAACACCGTCCTGAGTTCACCATTAAGAATTAATTTTCGCAATACTTGTTCATTATTTTCGGTCATATCAGAAAGGATGACTTTACGGAAACTAATGTGGAGAAGGGTAACTGATAAATCGCTTAGACCCAGAATTAAGTCGTGCTCTGTTAGCCGTAAATCATTTAATTTTCAGTACACTTAGTTCACAAGCATAACAGTATATTTTGGGTTCTTGGTTGTTCAAAACTCCTGCCATGAAACATAGTATGTTTAACTAATGGATTCATTGTCAGTAAAGAAAGCTCCCTAGTTTCGAACGCAATAAGATAGAAACGGAAGTTCATAAGGCACCTTCAAACACCAAGGTACTCAAAAACAAAAAATAACTACATCGACACCGATTTTCAAAGGGGGTAAACGCAACGAACCTTCAAGCAGCTGACCGGTAGTACTTCTCTCTGTACTCTCAATAATCCCTGATAGAGGGCGGTATGCACGACTATTTATTACCTTAAACTTCTTTTCAACTCAACAGAACGGTTTCAAAAAATGTTATCCTCGCATAGCCGAACTGCTGACTATGGTGAAGAGATGGACGATCCTCCTTGATCTCAAGGAGAAGGTTGACGTCATTTATCTCGACTTCTCAAAAGCTTTTGATGGGGTCAACCAAACGATTAGGTATCAAACCATCTTTAACCGATTGATTCACTTCACATCTAGAAATCGATATGTTAAGGTTAGGGTTAACTTTTTAGTGGCTCGTGGATCTGACTTTATTTTAGATAGTACGAATGTTCGTTATCACCTATCCTCGAACACAATTATCGACTTAATTCAAGTTAGTCAATAACGGAATTTAGATAAGTCAATTAATGGGAATGGTCGTTGAATACATATATTTTGTATGTAAAGTGAAAGCGATAGAACAAAGCGAAATGACGCGCAGAGGAGATGGCTGGTAAGCCAACTCATTTTTAGCCAAGCGTTAATCAATATTTATAGGCAGACAAAAATAAGCTACAGACATGTGATGAGTCATGGGATGTGATGTGTACACACATATACACTCAAATAAAAACAGTCAAGACTGATAAGCGACTAATTAACGAGGTCAACACATATGACTCAGATAGAATGAGTAGATTGGTTTGTCCAGAAACTAGAATAAGGTATATGGGCTCCAAATAATGACCGACACTACAACTTCACCTTCTCTCATGTTATGGAATGTTATAGTGTGGTCACGTTCAAGAGCCTTTCCTTCCTTGATTTATGCGAACGATCTTCCATAGCAGGTATCGTCTGAATTATTACTTTTTGCTGATGATGTGAAACTTTGGAGAGAGTGGTACGCAACCAAGAGGATAAACTGGCAGTTCAGGAGGATCTGACTCGACTTCAAAGTTGTGCAGATGATGACGGACTTACCGTTAATACTTCAAAGTGTAAAGTAGTCCATCTCAGACATGTTGCGGACTATAGTTACAACTTAGGGGACTCTTCTCTAGAAGTATCTGAAGTTGAAGATGATTTAGGAGTGCTGGTACCCTACGATTTGAAGTCTTACGCTGACTGTGACAAAAATGCTTTCCGAGTAAACCTTGCAATGATAACGTTGAGTCGCATTTTCGGTCAGTTCGACGGAGGAAATTTCCACATAACCTCCAGCAGTTTTATTCATCCTTATTTAGAGCAAGAAAACATAGTATTCCTCCTTCACCCCGAAAGGATAAAGACACTCTGGAACGCACCCAACGGGAGGCCACGAAATCAGTTGGGGCACTCAAATTCAAGTCTCATGAAGTGTCTCTAATCACTGAACCAATACCCGTTAGAGTATAGGCGTCCTAGAGGTGATCCTCTAATGGCTTACAGCATCCTTGACACTTCTGGAAATCCGCTTAAACACCTACTTGAGCTTAGTTCTAATACAAACCTTGAGGGTAACTCCTAGAATCTGGAGACAACTCAGGAGAATAGACTGTAGACAAAAATTCTACTCCTTTAGAGTAGTCAAACACTGGAATTCGCTGCCAGATGAGCTAGCCCAAGCGACTTCCCAGGAGTTCTTTGAGAGGAAACTTAGCATACTTTTAAGGACCAAGGACAGTATCCCACTATGATTTAACAAGCTTTTTTCTCTTTCCTCTTTCATCGTTAACATACCTACGTTCCTGTCTAGAGGTGTCTGTGATTCACTGCTATTAGATACGGAAACTAGTTAAGCGGAAGCTTCTTCGATTCCGTCCAGAACCATCTAAACCATTTGGTACCAAACTATTAGAAAAATGTACATCGAAAAGGCAGATTATTTGAGGGCTACGTTGCGGTAATTTGCTACACACATGTCTGATCAGCTAAGGTCGTGAGGGATTTGATCATTTCACCGTATTATGTATTTCGTGCCTAGTATTACAAGTGAATTTCCCATGTTATATTTAGATGATAGATAAATTACACTGAGTACTGTATAACATACGTTATCCAATCTACATTGTATACTATAACAGGATCAAATTCTAGATTTTATGCAAAAGTTAGAATTTGACCCTGTTATATTATTGCTGAATAAGTAGTTTATGGATATGTTTTTATGTATAGCACATAATTTCACTGTTTTCAGACCTCAGCAACATCCACGGTAGGCTAATATCCATGGTAACGTTCCCAGTGTTCGTTGTAAAAATAAAATTTCTCCGTCTAACCATTCACTGGTAACGCTGATGTCTATTCTTTTGATAGAGCGTTCCAGTAGTTAATTAACTGATTGGGAACACGGATTCTTAACTTAGGTCAAGATCAGCTGATCTTGTTTGATCGTATTTTTCTGATATCTATTTCTGTAGTAGCTTTAGATTATGGTATCTGAAGAGCAAACAGATTAAATACGTTGATACAGAGTAGTAATGTCATGCCGTTTATCATTCTAGTGTGTTATGGAGAAAAGAGCTCTAATGATCCAATTATTGGTCACCACTTACCATAGGACTGAATCTACTTAGGTCGAAGGCTCAGGATGTGGCCCCCCAAGAAACCCATCTGCTTCGGTTTGGGCACCCGGTTACTTTCACAGCCCACACACAAACCATGTGACTTGTGTGGCGCGTGTGTATTCGGTACCCTTATGTAGTAATATTTGTGTGTTCAAAAAACCGATAAGTGCTCGTTCGAATCTAATGAGAATTTAGATCCACATACCTGTCTAGAAACACTATGTTCTCCACTGTAATGCAAATTTTCAGAAGCTATGGTCTAGTTTAATGTGTGCTGGCATTCCGTGAGCAGATAAATCCTAACTACTTTCAAGATGTTGCTCTAAACATAATCACTGGCCTTCTGACAAAAAAACATGTCTGTGAGAAATTAAACTGACAATTCCACCGACTTAACACCAGAAGGCTCTATTCGTTCATCTGTTGTCCTCAATATGTCACTTGTGTATAAATAAATTGTTAGTTATAAAGTCCGGCCAAGGTCTGTAAAGTAAGTAAACCGGTCACTAAATGGAGTAATAAACACTTTTTGACTCTAGTTGTGATGACTTATTGTTCATTTTGAACTACCGACTTACTGAGTTACTGCAGAAATTCCAAAACAAAAATCTTCGTCATTAAATGAAGACTTCTTAACAATCTACGAAATTTGTCGATGTTGATTTTATGTAGAAAGCTATTAAGTGGGAGAAAGCCCTGATACAGCTGAGGGTCGAGATTTTACGACCTCTCTAAGGTAGTTACTGCGTTCAAATCAATAGGATGTCGCCTACGAAAATTAGAAGGGAAAAACAGACGTCTGTCCTAAGCCTACGCTAACAATCGTGTGCTGTTCCAAATTTCTTTCACTGGATTATACTCTTTAAATAACATCTCCAAACCCTAATCTTCCCGATTACTGCTTATACTCTTATTACCTCTATCACTACGGGATTTGAATCGGCAAGTGCATCTCTGTGCTAATGTGGTGTGGCAACTCGAACTGATGTACGTACGTACGAAGTTCTACGTTGTTACTGACTGACTGACTGACTACGCTAACAATCACTATGCAGTGTCCCGTCAGAAGTGACTGAAAAATTTGTATCGGAGTAGTTCTATGGATGCTGATAGTGGTGTGACAGATGAAATCAATTTATAAATAGTGAAAGCGTAAGTGGCTTATGCTAGTATGGTCTATCTTTGAGACCGTCATGATGTTAACCTGCTTTGAAAGGTCGGATCAACAATGTGTCAGTGAGGGAAGTTCTACTCTACGCTTACAGAATCTGGTCTCCCCCTGTTGAGTTTGTTTAACTATTCGCTGTGTTAGATCATCGTTGGTGACATCCAGTGCCAACACATCATGTGTGTAATTCTGAAGTACGTCAATATCTGCTTAAGCACGGTGACGACGATCCAGTTGGTGTCACCATTAAAGCACTGACTGTATTCTTTCTTTTATCCCATCCCCCCTCCGTCTCTTCTTTCTTCAAAACTATGTCTTTTGATTTGTGTGGCTCAGTTTATTTTTCGGTGCTAGGTTTTACCAATTCTATGTGAAGTAAGTAGTTGATAACTGAAGTTTTCAGGATGCTTTAAATTAAAGAGCTAAAACACATATGCAATCATAAAATTGATAAGAATGACAGATTTATGCATTCAATAACTGTAAATCATTTCTTATTTACTCATATTACTGCGATTGGCTCTGACAATTATTTTCGTTTTCATACTCTTTTAAAATGCATTGACATTTAAGTTGTTATGAATGCCTGAAGCTTTTGAACTCTTACCCTAACATACATTTTTTAAATATTTGTTAGGACATTAAAAATATTCAGGTCTAAATGATATTTATTTTGTACACTGCCGAATAACTTGATTAACTTATTTTGTGGTTATTAGTAACTGAATTGCAGTTATTCTTTACTATGTTATACATTGATTTCTCAATCACCTCATATCAGTTTTGTTCTGGAAAAGCTTTTGATAAACCTGTTTGCTTATTCAAATTTCAGGTAGCGGTTGGTATTCAGAAGATTATATTCATTCACAATCATGGTATTTGTTAGTAAGTTATCCACCCAAATTTTACTTGTATTTAAGGTTGGGCCAGTGATGGACTGAGAATATACGAGTTAGATGAAAATAAAGGGATTGTTCAGTTGGAATAGTATGTTTGGATATTTTCCATAAAGATATTTTAGCAAATCATCTACAACTGTGAAATGTTTATCTATCGCAAAGTCAAGCATGTGGATGGGTTACCTTGATGAAACTAGGTAAGGATTATTTAGTTTTGCTTTATACGTCACAGTGTAGTTATGCTTGACGTCAATGATCGATCTGTCGTTTCCACTATCCCTGTTGAGCCAGCTTCACGGATTCAACTATCACCGTGTGGAAAATTTGGATTCATCTACACGTCATTTAAAAGTAAGTTTTATTCCTTAGTTTATAAACTTGATTTTAATGAATAATAGTCGACAATGAACATCCATCTGGTTCGCCAAATATATTTGTATATGACATGATCAATAGAACAAAGCTCAAAGAGTATATTTTCCGAAGAGGTGATGGATGGTAAGCTTTTATTATTGATACGAATGATTCGCATTATTCAGTTAACTGAAAACAATCTTCCCATCCTTTATCACAAATAAAATTACAGCCAGTAGTTAATGTTTCCTTTTTGAACTGTTATGATTAGATAGGCTATAACACTTTGTTTGACATTCTTCTTACATATAATCGGTCATCAAGCAACCTTCATGCATTAACGTAATTAGATTACTAATAATTAAAATTTATATATGACACTATTGTTAACTAAAAAATGTAATTACCTTCACTCGTGTATGTTTAACACATTGTAACAAACTTTATTTCTAGTTATATTTAAACATCTCAACTGAGTTATAGATCACACATTTTTTGGATGAATGTTTATACTTAGCCTACATGTTTACATATAAATAGGATGGTAGAGTTAAAGCCTTTCAGCAAATAAACAAAAGTTATTTACTACTCCATCCCATTCGAAATTTGTGTGTGAAATTGTAGATGTTTGTCACGTTATAAAAAGTTTACTAAACAATCAGCCATAAACAACGTAAAAATTAATATATATGTGCATCGGTTTAAGTTGGCACACTCTATAAACACATTGAGACGAAATTGTCAATTCAAATCTCAGGGTAATAGATGTAGCAATAATACTAGTGGCAATGAAAGTGTTTGGGGACAAGAATATATTCCGATGAAAATATGGATAAGTGAGATAATAAAGTTTTTGTCATGTAATTTAGAAACTTGAAATCTGAGCAAAGGTAACCCGATCGTTGTTGATACCTTGACATGGTGGTCGGGCTTGCCTATCGTGATGAAACAACCGAGCTATACTGGATGGAACAACCGTTCCTCAAGGTCCTACCATGTCAGACAGGTCGGTTGAAGAGCGGTAAGACTAAAAGCAACAAACCCAAGGTCCATCATTTTCATTATATTCTGCTCTATGCTTGTGAAACCGGGCCTCTCCCAGTTGAGGACGTTAGACGACTCTCTGTTTTCGATCATCGATGTTTCCGAAGGATTGCTGACATTCAGTGGCAACACCATGTCAGTAATGCAGAGGTTCGGCATCGTGTGTTCGGGCACAGAGATGATAATTCAATTGGTGTCACCATCTTGAAACACCGACTTCGGTGGCTTGGACATGTTCTCCGAATGTCGTCCCAGAGAATTCCACGTCGTGCATTATTTGCCGTCTCTGGGACTGGTTGGAAGAAGCGGAGAGGTGGTCAGTGCATGACATGGTGTCGTGGTATGATAGAAAGCTGCAAAGGACTGGCTTCTGTCGGTCCTTCACGACTCCCTGGTTGGGGTCTGAGAGATGGTGCTACACAGTGGCTAGAGAGGTTATCAGATATGGCTCAGAATAGAAGTCAGTGGCGATCCTACTGTAATCTTCTTTTACTTTCTTCATAAAAAGTGGTTGTGTCTCCCTTACCTGAAAGATTTCTGATTGTACCTTTGCGTTCCCTCATTACTACCACTCTACCTTACACCAATCTCTTCGTTATTTTTCTCTTTGTTCGCGCTCCTTAGCTTTTTTTTTCTATTTCTTCGAATTCTCATTGTTTTGTGTGGCGCATATATATTGGCGCTCTCTTGTACCAATATTTATGTGTTCAAATAAATAAATAAACGGCTCCGTAAGAACTCGGAAGGATAGGGACACACGTCGTTGCCTTTTTGTCGTTTCTGCCTACGCTCCCACCGACTGCAGCTCAGATGAAGTGAAAGATGAATTTTACAGAGAGCTATCTGAACTTCTTCAGAAAGCTAAACGCCCAGACATAGTACTCGTAGCAGGTGACTTTAATGCCCAGATAGGTAGTTTAAATCAAACAGAAAGGCATTTAGGTGGGTATTTTAGTATTCCGGCACAACGAACAGATAATGGTGATCGTCTGCTACAACTATGCTCAGACAATCGTTTATGTTTAGCAAACACATTTTAAGCATAAGGAGAGACATCGTCTAGCACGATGACCCCCTACACCAAACCAACGATGGACTCAAATAGACCATATTGCCATTAGTCATCGTTGGAGAGGGTCGGTAGAAGATTGTCGCTCATTCTGGAGTACCTGCTTGGACTCCGACCACGCCCTAATACGGGCACGCATCTGCTTGCGCCTCACTGGACGCAAGAAAGCCACAGCAAAAAGACCCATTAGAATTGAATTGTCCTGTTTGTTGAAGACGCTGATAAAAAGCAGTCTTTTGGTAGCACTGAGCAACAATGCCAGAATGTTTGGAATGCGCTTTTCCTCCTCTAAATGCAAGTTATTTCTTCAGGACTGGCCTGCATCAACACATGAACTAAGGACAGGCAATGAAGTAGTCGGAAGCATCCACAACTTCACTTATCTTGGAAGCTTGACCAACCCTAATGGGTTAATGTCTGGCAAAATCTGTACGCGGATTCAAAAAGTTCTTTTGGCTTTTGTTAACTTACGTCACCTATGGCGAAGGCGAGATATCCGTCTATCAATTAAGGGACGAGTATACTGTGCGGCAGTCCATTCTTTTCTACTTTACGGTTGCGAAAAGTGGCCATTAATAGTTACTAGTTACTAGTATTCGACCACAGATGCCTTAGACCATAGATGCCTTGCTCGCATCTTCTGGGATCACTCGGTAAGTAATAGTTAGGTTAGACGTAGGGTATTAGGGAATGATGGTAAACCAGTTAATGATGTTATAAATCTACATCGACTGAGATGGTTGGGCTACGTGTTGCGTACGCCTGAACACCGATTATCACGATGCGCAATGCTAACCAGTGTTGGGGATGGTTGAAAGAAATTTCGGAGCGGCCAAACCAGAACGTGGCATAAGTGCTTGAAGTCACTAACTTCTAGTCTGAGCCATGTTAGTAGATGCGAACTACCTGGTTGGGGTCCACATGACTCTCTTAACCAACGGTTGGAGACTGAGTGACATGGCTCAAAATCGATCACAATGGCGTAGGTGTTTACACTCTGTCTTCTCTTAAACTAAGAGATTAAAATCACTTCATATCTTTCTTTCTGTTAACTAATTCTTTCTTCCTGTACTATATCCTTATACACAATCTTTCTTTTATATATTACCATCATGGACTTAACCACTCCTTTGAATCTGGTGTTCATCTTGCTGTGCTAATGATGTATGGCAAGGTGGACCGATGCATATATGTGCTTGGTCCTACGTTGTAGCTGACTGACTGTTTGAGCAAAGGTAAAAGGCCGCTTCACCTGCCCTATTTCAGGTAACTCTGAACTGTGTCACTTAATGTCTCTGATAATGTGCTACGATAATCGCGCGGACCCTAACTAGGTAGTCTGAAGCTGTCCACACAACTCATTTCAACAGCCAGTGACTTCATGGACTGATGTCATATTTTGATTTGCTCACCCTTATCTTCCAACCTATTCCTTCACTATCTCTCGTCATACATCAAGTTAGCCAGTGGATGCACACACGTAACACATGTTTAACCAGTCTCAATCGATAAATATCCACTACCTTATCAGTCGACTTGTCATCCTTATCTAGTACTTTGCGTCCAACTTCAGACTTGCTAATTCAATAATCTCAACATGTGCGAGCAATGCTTCTAAGTCATCTGTAGTCAACTCTTAGCAACCCACAAACATCTTCTTAAAACTTCCATGTTGACAGAAGTATTGTTTCCAAATATTCTAATTAGAGTTTCATTTGCTCTGATCTTTTGTTATTCCAGTTTTTATTGTATGCCAATATATATTGTTTCTTTATTGTAACATAAACTGAGTTGCTTTTATTGGTATGATTTCACTAAGCTATTTATAAACTAAGTAATTCAAATATGTAAATTAAACGAATCATGCGAACCTTTGTTGATAAGGCTACAATTTTTCGGGAAGGTATGTTGACTAAGAGTGGACCTTGGTGTCATAACCAACCTAAATTTTCGCATGATAACCACACTGTCTTTGATGCGATTCCTTAATTCTCTCATATATTAAATTTACTAGGCAACCACAATGGAATTCTGATTCATCCTTTTGCTCGATTTTTGTCAATGGAGAAATTCATATGTATACAAACAATCTATTTTGTGAGTTTCCATGTGAAAATTGTACTTAATTTTGCTTAATCACTTAGCTTTTGCAGAAGAAAATGGGAGTAGTCCCTTATCCTTTGAACGAATAATGACCATATGTTTACTAGTGATTGATTTTGAGAGTAGCTTTTCAGACTTTGAGTGAGAAACTGTTACTCACCAACAGCATTGTATAATGGTTGCACAGTTTCCCAAATTGGTCGGATTTAAAAGTGTAAACCTTTGGATGTCGACTTGGTAGTCTGAAAACTAAGTGTGGTTGGGTCATGCATTCATACTGCTGAGGAGTTTCATACTGGAAAGAAAACCTGACCTGTGTTTACTGGGTCTTGGTGGTTGTCTAAGTTCAGTTCGTGATGTAACCTACAAATTTCAAAAATCTCCATAAACCACCATATTAGTCAGGCGTACTTATAATTTTATTCATTATATCTATCATCTTACTTACTTACTTACACCTGTTACTCCCAATAGTGGATAGGCCGCCGACCAGCATTCTCCAACCCACTCTATCCTGGGCCTTCTTTTCTAGTTCCATCCAATTCTTGTTCATTTTTCTCATGTCTATTTCCATTTCTCGACATAATGTGTTCTTTGGTCTAACTCTTTCCCTTTGGCCTTGAGGATTCCATATGAGGGCTTGTCTTGTGATGCAGTTGGATGCCTTCCTCAATGTATGTCCTATCCACTTCCAGCGCTTCTTCCTAATTTCTTCCTCCGCTAGGATCTGGTTTGTTCTCTCCCATAGTAGGCTGTAACTGATAGTGTCCGGCCAACGGATCCGAAGTATTTTACGTAGACAACTGTTAGTAAACACCTGTATTTTCTGGATGATGGCTTTCGTAGTTCTCCAGGTTTCCGCCCCATACAGTAGGATTGTCTTGACATTTGTATTGAAAATCCTGACCTTGGTGTTGGTTGAACATTGCAATATACGGTCCTTAATTAATCCAAAGGTAAAAATATTTTATTTTTCTTTGCAACCTAACTGAGGTTCAATATTTGTCGGCTACACTTTCGAATTCTTTATCAAGTGTCCCATGTTTTTGAAGCATTAAATTAAATACCAGAGCTTCACTCGAATGGCTAGAAGCGGTATAAAGTAACTTGCTAATTTTATTTTACGATAATAGTTTTTTGTTTTAAAGTATTCTCTCGATTTAAAAGTTTTTGTAAAATCGTGATTATTTACCTGAAAATAATGTCGAAGATTTCTCGAGACAACGGCTATTTTGATGTTTATTGCTAATGTTTCAGGCTATTGGTTTAGTCCTGATTTAATCATAGTTGTAGCGTTGCTTTCGGTCTTCACGGACAAGTATTGAATGTTTATGAGCTAATTTAGATTAGCTTTCAAACCATTGTGTTTTTTTCAATTCGGTAAACATTTCCAATCAAAATTCTCACGTTTTGTCTGTTCTGTGTGCCATCAATTTATTTTTAGTTAGACTGATTACATTACTAGCGAGTAGCATAACGTTTAACATGGTGATTTGTTAACCGGAATAATACCCTGAAACACTCATAAAATTTTGTCGAAAATAGAGTAATCAATACTTGATTGATGATTTCTTATGTTTTATTGAATTGCGTTCCAAATATTTTCGTCTAATATATAAGTGTAATGAATTATAGTAATGTATAACTCATAATGACTTTTATGGACGAAAAGGCTTTTATATGAACATTTGCCTATGGAATTTTTGGTTTATATTTGTCTTTTTAGTAAGATTTCGTCTACATAATATAATAGAGAAATATCTCAACTATCGTCTCATACGCCAGAGCAGAATTTGGTTGATAGGTGGCTTTTTAAAATCGTTCACCTTAAAGAAGTTACTTGTCCCATTCATAGAATATTACTGTAATCCAGTTAAAACTGTAAAAGGCGATTACAACTGATGATCATAATCTACGTTTTGTATGCACATTTGATTGATTAGTATATAGGTCTACTAGATTGCTTGGGATATGTGTCTGATTTGCTGCTACTACGTTTAAATCCATCCATGTTGGTGCAATCTCTGATATTTTTGACGTAATCATTTTGTTTGTATGTCTATGAAGAGTTATTCAGAAACTGGAAAAATATAACGGGTTCCATCCCTTTAATTATACCTTTGTAAAATCAGTCTTTAATAAATGATTTATACTTTCCACTACCGATTCTCAAATTTTGTTTATTATTCCCCTCATTCATGATCTTCATCATTTTGCCAATTTAAATCATTCTAGCTACCCTTGCTTTCTTTCTTTTTCTAGTTTTGCAATGTCGAGGTTTTCTCTAGATAATTATGTAATTACTATCTATTTTTGTAAGCAAACATATGTTTTTTTTAAACAGAATCTACTTATCCTAACAGCTTAGGTGTAGTGTAGTGTTACTACATTAAATTCATTGGTTTTGATCATTGCTTACCAATCACCTCTATTTTATTTCATTCTTCATCTCAGTTGTTAATTTATCAATAGCATTATTTTATACTTAATTATCTGGTCGTAGTGTTCTAAAAATATAGTTAAGAATATTCTTTGGTGTAGTTAGCGTATGGAGATTCGCTCAATTTATAGGTGACATTCATCACAGATTAACCTCAGTTGATATTTAACTAGTTCAATATTTCTTCAAATCAGTGGGTTAGTAATTCTGGTGATGGGAACACTCGGATATGAACTAAATCATATTCTATCTATTATTAGGTCAGTATAGACCTCCAGGAAAATTTGTAGCTCAGAGTTTACTGGGTTACGTTATATTAGTCTTGGAATCGCGAAAAATACTGAACTCATAAATAATGCTGTTTTTGTGACTATCCAAAATCAATAATTTAAAAGAAAATAATATTTTAACCGTTTTCACATAATTTCCTTCGAATTATTTTCATACAAACACCTGGTAATATTTATTGCCATTTTGTCTCCATCACTAAATCTCTAATTCCACAAACCGTATCCATGGTCAACTTTCCCACATATCCAACTGGAAGATCACAAGTTCAAATGAATAGTCCCAAGCACATACTATTAACATTCATGATTTACATGATTATATCTAAGTAAATTTTCAAAGTATAGGATAACTCAATGTATGAATTTTATTAAATACATAACAAGAACGCTTAGACCACACATTTAACTGACTTTAAATATCAGTGGATAAAAGATATTAAAATAATTACTGACAGCTTACAATTATCACTGTATATAAATATCATCATTCAGTTACTAAATTAATCACCATTAGAAATATACAGATTAATTCTTATCAGAAAATATGTTCATATGTTTCATACTTCTTTTCTTTTTCTTTTTTTCCAACAATCAAACAAATAATAGTTTTAAACTAGTTTATGTGTACTCTTATTTCATTTTTGATGGATCTTAGTTCTCTGAGCTGGATGCTTACATTCCTCAACGAATTTTCACTTATTTTAAAGAAAGTTTATTATATTTTATATTCTTGTCTTCTTTAAGCTAATAGATATTTATAAGCTAATAGAAGTGTTTTATGGAGTCACAAATTTTATACATATCCAACTTATTCAAAATTCATATCCATCAAATCAGTTAAGTCACCGATAAAGTAGAAAAAATAAATACAGCTTCTGTAGTAAAATTAGATTAATTTTACTGTAAGCCTTAAATACATGCTTCATTGTAGACTTCTCTGATTCCCAATCAATTTAAATTTTTCATTAAGGTTTATTAACTGAGATCTTTTGAGCTGATGGCGAATATTTGTAATTCAGATGGATAAAGTTTGTCCCGATTATGTTGTTCAGAAGAACAATGAAAGACCCATGATCAAATCCATCCAGCTTAGAAAACGGAACTCCACGAAAAACTGAAATCTTTTACATAAAAGTTTTTAAGATGTGTTAAACTTCAAGTAGGAATTTCGAATGCTATGTATAATTCTACTTATTTAATTTGAAAATGTCCTTGTACATTTAACGTGTTCAATTTAAACTTCTTTTTTTCAGCCGAAAAACCGTATACTAAATTATCACTAAAAGGTATCCGCCATTTTTCTATGAGTACTTCAAGTCAACCAAATCTTGCAGTGTATATACCCGGGGAAAAGGTAAATAACTAAACGAGGCGTTTATATGCAATCTACTTTTCCTTAAATAAGATGGCTTCTAAACAACCAAATTATCCATATTTTAATGTATTCAAGGTGTTCAGTAAATAATTTCTTAAAAGAATCTTGCATAGGGTATTCCTTTATCACCTTCGCTTCCGTTGGTACCGGTGTAATTTCTTGAGAATCTATTACGTATCTGAGGGATTTTAATGATTTTTTTTCGAGTTTGATCACTATAACATATTCACTCAAACTTTCAAATAACTATGTGAGGTTTGCATATGTTCCTCAGCCATTTTGCTTATTACTAATGAATCCGAATACGGACCTCGCCAGTAAATCGCTAAAATTTATGCACTTCAGTGGCGTTGTCGATCGGTATTCTGAAAAAAAATTGTGTAGGTCAGACGGGATTGTGATTGCTGTCTTCGGGATATTGGGTGATATCGGAATATGATAGTACTGTGGTATATGCTACTTATATTGACATAAGTAGTATATTATGTTAGTCGTAAACAGGTCTGGCAGCAGAGAGATCGAAAGATAATGCAATTTGTATGAAAATGCGAGAACAATGAAGTCTGAGTCATTTTGAGACAATTGATGGACATTTCGCAAATTGAGCATTTACTTTATGATTGTTAGATTTTATTAACAAGTCCTGTAATTTTGTGTTAAATACATTCGATTGTCCCCACCCGTGTTCTGTTCACTACAGCACGCTCAAACTAATCTACTTTTGGAGAATAAACGAGTTACGTGCATGTCGCTATTGAAATTGTCGATATGTGATTTAGAATATCTGCCCGCTATTGTGCGATAATCGCCACATGACCGAATGTTTTCCACTCTACAGCTCCATATGCAATGGAGAAGACCATAGACTGCTCGAAAGACGTATTCTGCCCATTTTCAGTAGCTTACCCAATTCTTCTTTATGTGCAGCCTCTTCGGACCTAATCTAAGTGGTTTAGCATTAACAAGTGGACCTTTCGTATTAATGTTGTAGGTAACAAGGTGTTAAACGTCTGAATTGAACTACATAGCTTTATCTACCTTCGGAAACCTTTCTAGTAGTTTAAAAAAAGTCTTGATATCTATTTGTTTTTATAAAAGTCATGAATATCGATTCGGTTATATGACTTCATTAATTATTGCTTCTCTTTTAGAAGTTACTAACCGGTTACACTTAGGACTTACTATTAAATTGACATGCAAAATATCTCTCTCGATGGTGGTTATAGAGATATCTTATGCCATATGCTTTCACCGGAACGACTTACGAAGAACAAGACTCAATATCAACTGTCTTGTTTTAATATTCGGTTCGCTTACAGGACACAAAGCTACTGTTGACTCAAGGCTATATTTTCCCCCTTGATGAGTGTCACAGCACTACAGAAAATTGTGCACCCGTTGCTTGTTAAAGAGTGCCTATTTCGTTCATCACTCCTCTCTATCCTACTCTGTGTCTGTAAGGCACGAAGTTAAATGTTGTAGTTATCTAGTCATGGATACCTTTTTAGGACTTCTATTGTATAGTGGGACCATAAAGAAAACAATCTTAAGTTTCTGTCCTGTTTCAATCAAACTTGATTAGTCATTCGGTGAAGTTGTAAAAATGTACTAAGTGAATAGCATTACTGGATGGTAAAGCTCTACGCTGAAATACATCTATGAGTGATGAAACCGTACCATGATATTATTTCTTTTGGTCACTAACTGTCGATCTTAGTTATATAAAGATATAAAGGCTTTAAAGATAAAGTCATCAAATTGGTAGGAATCAGTGAATAGTTTGATCTCTTAGAGTCATGGTTCTAGATAATCATTCATCATTGGGTAGTCACCAGCTATTATCAGAATTTGTCCCTTTTCAGTGTAGTGGACGCTACCCACAAGATTGTTTATAAGTAATATGTTGCAGAACGTGACCTTAAGGTTGTAGGACGGAGTGAAGAGTTTCAGTACAGTGAAAGCACGGCATTGACAGAACAATTGGAGATCAGATGCGAAGGCAGTTCAGCTTTGTAACTTCACAATAAATATGGATTCCTTCTTTAAATAAATATTTAATCTAGAGCTTACAATCCTGGGTAGTTTGAACTACATGTTTGCTAGGAAATATATCTTATATTAGCATTTAATGCACCTTCAATATTTTAATATTTTGTTTTTTCATTGTTTTTTCCTATAGAACCAACCTTCTTTTGTCAGAGTTTATCAGTGCCGTGATAATCAACTGATTCATATTGCAAACAAATCGTTTTTCCGTGCTGATACAGTCCGACTATTATGGAATGATAAAGGAACTGATTTACTCATACTTACTTCAACAAAAGTAGTTCATATTATATGTGTTATTATAACTATTCGTACCTTTTTCACATGCCATATTGTTTGGTTATTTAACTTTTAATATGTAAGGGGTTCATGAAAATTATGGAGCTTCCTAGTTTACATCACAAATTGGCTTATATTATTAATGATAATCATGTCCTCATTAATAACTAATTCTAAGAGATGTTCTTCGGAGTTTGGATGAGACACTATGATCAACGATAGCTGGGGAATGTCGAAAATTAATCGAGCCTATAAATGTAAACCAGTATATCTTGACTCAATATTCTAAAGATGAACTACTTACCGTGAAATTCTAAGGTCATGGTTTCGATCCCGGTATGATCGTGGTTGTTCACTTACGAGAAATTGTATGATAGAATATGGCGGCTGTTCAGTGTTTATTGAATTTCAATGGTTTTCTAACTAACGGCAAGCTGTGGTATGTTAACCCTCTTTTTCACGAATTTTTCTCATATATGTGCTCACTTTTAATTATTCTGGATTTACTTCCTTCTAGATTAGTGACCGAAGGTAATTTTTCTCCTAGCACGCAACCCTAGCCGATAAAACTTTAATTCCCAAATAAAAATTATCGATTTACTTATATTCTCTCTAACTCAACTGGTTTATTTTACTTATCTGGTATGTCTACCGAACTGGTAACGTCTTGCGTATTAAATTGCCTCAAGTTTAAATCTACTATCCACTGCAAATTTAATAAGTTTTATCATCTAGCCTTAACAGACTAACATACATGATTTTTAGTGGTTTGAACCACTGTGTTGTTGATAGGTCGACCGAATTTTGGCCAGTCTTAGTTTATGTGCATCATGTGCAAACTGCCTCAATTTAGCTTTCATGATACACGTTTATGTAGAATAGATGAAATGTGGCTACCAGCGGTATCCAGGTACATTCAACTGATAAATCTCAAGCGGGACGAAACGTTTTTTCTGGGTTCTACTGCTAGCAATATTCCGTCCATTCGACATAGATGATTCCACTGCTGGTTAAGTATTAGTTCGGCAACTAAATACCCCTTCATTTTCTAAATAAAGATTTACTCTTAAAATTTTACCTATTCAATCATCAGCGGAATTTCTTACGGATTTTTCGTAAGTGATTCTATAAACCACAAAAGGTTCTTCAAGTTGAATTGAAATAATTTATTGAAGCAACAATCTGATTTTGTAACACTTGATTTCTATGGTTTATTTTTATTTATATATGGTATTCGTCAGGACAAAAGTCAGAGAAACAATGAGAACCATGAAGTACTGAAGGGACTGTACTTTCCTGGTACGGAAATCACCAATGTGAATACACAACCCTGCCAAGAATCAGAACCATGACCTTCAGATCTCGTGACAAACCCTTAACCTTTTGGTCACTGATTTGGAATCTAGTGGTTCATATTCAAGCTTCGATTTTGAGTTTAATGTCCTGGATGTAAAACTGTTGAGAATACCTATATCAAAATTTTTAAAGATGACTAGCTTTTCATTAGGTTATTGTTTATTGTCAAGAGATATCCACAAGCGAAAAACCTATATACATCATCATATTCGGTAGTTATAACAATGTTTTCAATCTCAATTATCATGTTAAGTTACTGTTTATTCATGGTACTTCTGATAGTCTAGATCAGTGTTAGTATCTAGCATACTTCATTTCTTTACTATAACATTCTGCTATCTATTAACTATTATTTTCAATGTATCGATTACTATCCACCATCAGTAAACAGTTACATGACACTTGGGATCCATAAATTTTTCAGTATTTTATTTAATTTTCTTGTTGAAGCATTGCATGTTTTGATATCCAAGCATTAAGAATTTATTCTACGTGTCTTGTTTACAGGTTACTGACTTTCCGTCCACGGTCATATGATATCAAGGTTACAGAGCTTGATAATGGTCACATGTTTTAATGACAGTATACAAATATAAGTATTATTGCATTTGTAATTATCATGTACATAGTTGGTTATAAACCCTTTATTTAGTCAGATATTCAAGCATTGTCTATAGTAACTAGTTGTTCTTACTTTTAAATAGAGTCATTGGGCCTCGTACTAAACACACCACTTTGTACACAATCATTACATATCACCACAAAGCCTAAACGTTTCAATTTTCATACTATCTACCGTCGTAGTTGTACACTCTCAAGAAATCCTGCAAAAATAAATTTTAAACGATACAGCTAACCAGTGATTCTTGATTTTAATGGTTCTCCCACTGATTTCTATTTGTTGCAGAGTAGTTCACCCACTAAACTGTATGTTGTATCTGGTTTTCTCTCATTTTCTCATTGCGTTCTCTTCATTTCTTTTCTAAGCTTAGTGATGAAAGTTATTATGGGGATCAAGGTCTTTATTTTATATCAGCTAGTCGATCCGGTGATAGTGCGATTGTTCCAATGCCACGTAAAGGTCCAATTTATCAAATAGCTTTTCAACCAACAAATTATTCATCTTCTATGGTGAAAAAGAATAAAAATAAAAAAATTGAAGAATATTTTGTTGTTTGTTATGGATGTAAGTGATTCTTTTTCTTTTCAAACATGTACTACTGGGTTGTTTACATTAACGATTATTTATTTACAGAATGGACAGCGAATATGGAGTTGTACATCTACCTTCTTACTGTGACCTGTTACCACCCCTCTTGAGAGAGTTATAGGCGCTATATCACACATCTCTAAACAACTCTCTCCTCGTCTCTTGTTTCCAGCTATCACCAACTACAATTAATGATCTTGATATCTGTTTCCAATGTCCAACACCTTGTGTTCTTCGGTCTGTCTGTTTTCCTTTAGCCTTGAGGATTCCAAGTTAGAACTTGCCTTACTATACAGTTTGACCGTTTCCGCAAACTATGTCCTACCCACCTCCACTACCTTTTTTAACTTCCTCCTCAACTCCCAGATTCTCTCCCATAGTCAGTTGTTGCTAATGATATCCGTTCAGTTGACATTAGGTATCTTGCGTAGACAATTGTTTATCAATACCTGTACCTTTTTGATGATGCTTGTAGTAGTTATCCAAGCTTCAGCGACGTACAACGATACTGTTTCTGATATTTGTATTGAAAATTCTGATTTTGATGTTGTCAGATAGTTGTTTTGAGTTCCAGATGTTCTTCGATTGTAGAAATGCTGTACTCGCCTTGTCAGTCTGTGCCTCCACATCTGGATCAGATCCACGTTACTTATCAATAATGCCGGTCAAGTACATGACAGTTCCCACCTGTTACAGAGCTCCTCCATCAAGTGTGATGTGGTTGGTGTTCTCTGTGTTGTATTTCAGGACCTTGCTGTTTCCTTTGTGTATGTTGAGGGCCCAGTGGAGCTGGTCTATCCTCTCACATCTTGTTTTCTTTCAGCTTTTTATGCTTTCATTACTAGGTCCTCCACATATTTTTGCTTATCACCTGTAATGCTGTTCATCCTGTTGTAACGGGTGAGACTGCAGGTTTTGATAAGCAGCGTTTATTTATCGATCGATCACAGTGACAGGTAAACACGTAGTGGACGACCTAGTGCCCTGATTGGTCCTGCTTCCCTGTCTATCCCAGCCGGTTAAGTCAAGAACGCAAGTCACGGCCTCTGAGTTATGAATCATTATATTACAAACATACTTTGTTTATATACTAATCAAGCATACCACATCGTACCATAAAAATAGAAAACAACATTTTGTACAATATTCAACAAGTGAACAGATATCGACCAATAGGAAATGTCCATTTAAAGTCCAAGGACACCATTGGACTTAACATCATAATTATTGGTCTATTCCTTCGCATCCACAACACCTCCTCTTTTTTTGAAGATCCGGAGTTGATATCCGGATTTTGAAATTTTCTGGGTTCATCCTCCCGCACAAAATAATGTTGGGTCCTCATATCCCCAAGTTAAAATTAATTTGACTTTATTTAACACATAATTGTCACATGGAACACAGAAGTCACTAAAAATGATTAAGTAGTGTGGACCAACGTCGCTTGATATGAGGTCATCAACGTTCGATTCTTCTGGAACATTATCATAGAATTTCTTGAAAATCTCATTTGTGGATAGTTGATCAGTGGGATAATTAACATCTATCAAAATTGTATTAAACTTCTGACCATCATTTGGTGCATCTAACACATTTTCTGGTACAAGAGAATCTAGATAATAAGATTCATCAGAATCTCCTGTTGTTGACTGATGAGGACCGTTTGGAGCAGCTAGACTCAGTATACTGCACGATTTGTTTCCTGTTTCCTTGTGAGAGGGTACAACACATCCATATGTTTGCTTCTGTATATTCGGCCTGTACTTTGAATTTCTCTCCTCTTGTTTTTCTTGTTGATTACTGTCTCCTTGTTATGTTTTTACTTCTTGCATCTTACTTAAGATAACTAAAGAGATCCACTCTTTATGATGGTGCTTCTTACATACCGGATCCTTCAGCCATGTCGAAGCTAGTTCTTCTTTAATCTCTCTCTAGTTGTTCTTCTGGTAGATTGTGTAATGCTTGGGACTTGCTTTTTCAAGTTTAATTGGTTTCTTCTGATTAGAAATTTTGTTTAGGAGCTTTTTTGGTAGGTGTGGATGCTAACTCCGTCTTCAACCCTCCCTCTTTACACTGGCCTAGGACTGGAAGTAGCCGTAGAGGCGTTCCATACTTACTTACTTACTTTCACTATGAACCGTCATAATTCTTCTAAATGAAGATCGTTAAACTCGGAGGACGGAGTTTAAATAATTTAATTTGTTTATTCTGGTTAGTGTTTTTTTCAGCAAATTTGTTTTCTACGGGATTGGGTTGCTGACCCCATGCCCAACCCTCCTCCTTTAATCGAACTTGGTACCATCAGTAACCCCATAAGAGCTACAGGTGGAGTTCGAGGAGCTCCGTACGTAGTTATTTAATAGTCATAGAGATTTACATTTGAGATAATTTAGCTATACTGCAGTATAATCTAATCATTCAACAGACACAGATCTCTTCTTTTCTTGTTTGATGTAACTTTACAATCAAAATGAATATGGTGTCTAGAAACTATTGTATAAGCTGATTGTATCTATCCGTAATGAAATTCTTAACATTCTCTATCAAATCAATGTACTTATCATGTGACCATTAATTAATAGATTTGATAACCTGGTTAATCTAGTTATATTGTAACTAATTTTTTTTTAATATTAAGAATCATAATTAAATCAGTTGTCAGTTGTTGTTGATTCTAATCAATTGGTTATTGTGAAATGAAGTCATTAACGTTTATTGTATTCGTCAAAAATCGATTGATATAAATTTCTTTTAAGACATATTCATGATTGTTTCTAGTTGTTACACTAGTATAGTGTGGCAAAAAGAAACACCAACAGTTATTTGTTGCAAGTAAGCTAATGTATGAATTAGTGAAATCATTCATGTTTGGTTTGAATTGTTTAAAAAAGAATAAGTATTATTTAAGCTACGATTTTTATTACAACCATTATTCGTTGAACAATTCCCATTATATTAAAACACAATTGTATGAACGAAGAATATTCTTTTCAATTAATAATCCATAAGATTGGCCAAGTTTAAGACAAAGTATATCATTTAAAATTATAATTTGTGAACCAAAGATTCTTTATCGTTTAAAATAGGCACTTCTTCTTACCAAATTTGTCTGATGGCCATCCTGATATTTTCGGTCGTTGGTGAAGTGACATCTATGGGAAGGGTTGTGTGTACTGCTTTGATATCTAATGGGTTCAGTAGGTCCGGTCTCTTTAAGAGTTCGAATTGCTCTACTCGTCGGCTTCACTGTTCTTAAATCTCAGTGACCGGCTTGCCTTCTTTGTCCTTGACTGGTCTACTATATTTCCCTGCCAGTTTATTTATTATATCATATAATTGTCTGATATTAACTTCTCTTGAAGCTTTTTCCACTCTTGTTGCTAGGTCGTTAATGTTGGGGTGATTAATATGAACTGTTAACTTAAATAAGTTTACACGTCAAATGAAATTGTGAGATATGTGATCAGAATAAATATGCTCAACATGGGATGAGCGAGTGAACAATGTAGTTACAAACCAGAAATTACGTAATAGTTAAAATAATGTGAATTGAGTACGAATTAGTAGATAAGGGTGGATGTTGGATAAATTTATCGAAAATATTGGCAGGTTTTATAATAATCATAATAATAACAATGATAAGATATATGGATAAGATATAAAAATGGACATTAATCAACTTACATCATATCAGAAAATTGATTATTAACTAATTAGGCCCCGAAGTTGGCTAAAGTAAAAGGAGCGGTTGAACGTAAAGCTCTGGCTTTTTGATCCGAATAGCAATTGCTTTAGCCATCTGCAGGATTCTCAGTCTGACGGATTTAGGCAGACTGCTGTTAACATGATATATTACGGCGAAAGATTGCTCCATGTTGGCTGTATAGTCCGTTTGAACTAAATGAGCTAAAATGGAGCTGCTTAGCTACACTGGGAGATGCTCGCGAGCCCGAAAATATAAGTACCTAGAACACCTACCAATAGAACTTACTCCACAGGAGCAGTTGAATTGATAGATATAGAAAGAATTAACTAATCTAGGCAAGTTATCTTTCCATCTCGGAGTGATCATCGAATGTGTAGAAAACATTAATTAAAACATAAATATACGATCGTTTCATTGGTCCCGATTCAAATTACTATTTCATCTAACTCAGTAACCGATGGTAGATTTTATTTTTTATATTGCAAATTCTGCTAATTAGATCTTTCCTATCTAGAAATGAAAACCCAATGTTTTTATCACTTGTAAATGTTATAGACCTTCACAAAGTAGATACTGTTCATAATTTTTAATTTATCGATCTCAGTAATTAACCATTGTGTATTGAAACTAGTTATTTTTTCTATACGACTAGTTATTAAATTCATTATGAACATTTCAGTAGTTCCATCAAATAATTCTATTATTATTTTATTCTTCTCTATTCAACGTTTTAGTTACACCAGCATCTGTAACAATATTCAATTTGAACTGTGAACCAGTTCATGATTTTGGAACAGGTTCATGGAATGAAATTCATTTCAATCCTCATGGGAATCATATCCTTTATTTGATGATTAGTTTTGTGAATAAATTTACTTTCATGTGTATGTGTACATCGTAAATGTAATTACAGTTCTTTTTCTACAGATAATTGTTATAGACAATGGGAAACGATATCACAATAATTTTTATCTGGTTATCTTACATTGTTGAAAAACAATTTATAATTTTTGTTTATATAAATTAATAAGGAAATGAGTTCGAAATCTTTTTTTATAGATACAATTTGAACTTTTCAGATGATTTAGCTCTTATATCTCTTACATAACAACAAAGACAATCGAAGACAGCCAGTTTAGCAGAATTAAGCCCTCAGCATACACAAGGGAAAGAGCGAGGTCCTGAAATGCAGTACAGAGAATACCAACCAAATCACGCTTGATGGAGGAACTCTGTAACAGGTGGGAACTTCCATGTGTTTGACCGGCATTATTGATAAGTAACTTGGATCTGATCCAGATGTGAAGTTAAGGACTGTCAAAGCGAGTACAGCATCCCAGCTAAAATATTATGGTACTGTTGGTCTTTTATTCCCCGTATGATTGTTCAAATAACCCAATTTTATAGAGTAAATTCAGGTAGTAAGAAACAGTAATGAAAGTCTCTGCTTTCACCTTAACCGTCTCATTATTTATTTTTCTTATAGTTTACTATTGTTATTAGCTGGGCTAGGTAATTTGTCAGGCGATATGTGTGTTTGGGATTTTTCAACTCATGAACGTTTATCTTCATTTAAAACAACTGATGTGACAAGTGTTCAATGGTTACCAGATGGTGAACATTTAATATTTGCTACAACAACTCCAAGATTACGTGTAAATAATGGGTTAGTTGCATTTTTGTAGTATGTTTTCTTTTTATACTCGAAGAATTTTTCGATTCTTGATTGTATGAAATACCGAAAGTCTCCCATTTTCGATGTTGCTTTATCAGACTGACTGACTTTATGCTTCTAAGTCTTCAAGACTTCCCCTAATCTCGTTCTTTTTATTCAGGTACCTCAGGAAGAAAATTTTTTCCAGGATGTTGGCAGCCAGGAAGTGACAGTCACTCCCATCCTGCTAATAGCACTCTGGATCACCTCGTTCATAATAAAATCCCATCTTCATTACCTAGCTTTTCTTCTAGCTTTAACTTTTTTTACACCTATCTCCAATGGACTGTGACAAATCGCCCTTGTTATTGAAACTCTGTTGTTTAGAACTGGGATATGGTAGTTAGGTTACGATATATCCTTGTACAAACTAGATCAGTTGTGTTAGATCATCAACCGCTAATCCATCAAACTGCCGGGATGTATCATTTTGTGATTTTTTTCATTTTAATTTGTCGTTTTTATGTGCTGTCGCCTTTTTTCCTTACTAGCTCTGATGTCGTTTTACGCCACTCATCTCTTCGCTCTTTATCATTCTTGTTGTGGTTGTAATACGTCATTCGCCAAATTAGAGATTTTCACTATAATAATAGAGGTTCTAGGTATTCATTGTTTTGTTCGGATTCATATAAGCAACTTTTATCATTCATTCCTAAATGTAACCATTCAGGATGAGCATTACATGATTATCATCTCTCCAATCCATATTCCATTCCAGAACATTCTCTATTGAATTCATTGTAGCATAAATCTAACATAAACTTTCTGAACGGAAAGTTTCCGTCAATCATAATTGCTTCCGTCTTAGTGGACAACAACTAATGTGCTTCGTCGTTAGTCCATCAACATCATTATCATTCTGTTTTTATTTTATGAGACTGCATAATTTTCTCTGCTCAATTTTTCAATCGATGATTTGTTTCACAGTCGCCTGTCCTTTATATTTAAATCCATTTGTTTAGCTTTGATTTTAATTCGCATCAAATATTTATTTATCATGTTCGGAAACTGTAAAATCGGAATTCTATCAAATCGATTAATTTTGTTTGTTTATCTATTTAAATTCATTTACTCATCGTGAAAATTGTGTGATTTTGTGTATTGTATTGATTAATTATTGACCACTGGCACCTTTGAAAGTTATTCACTAAAAGAAAAAGAAAACATCGGCGTTAAAATGTTCACCTTGCAACTAATGAATCATGGATTCGTTTATACTCCTCATGATATACTTCGGTCTGTATGGTCGCCTAACACATTTGATCTTCGTGAAATAAGTTTGACTCAAAGAACCCATACGTTGTTACGTTATGTAATCAAATAAATTTTATAGTAACGTCAGCATAGCTTATTCTTCCAGCCCTATTGATAGTTTGTCTTGTTACTAGATGATTCAAAATATAGTCAGAATATTTTCAGCTTGATGTGGAATCACTGTATACTAATAAACTTATTATTCTTATTATGATCTTTTAGTTAATTTTTAAGTTAACCTTATTGTCTTAACTTTCATAGATTTGGGATATGGCATTATAGTGGTAAACAATTATCCTATCGACCAGTTGAACGACGTGCTATTCCTAGAGCAGCTACACCAGATTTACCCGCTGCAGTTGATCATGAATTATATCAAGTTTCAGTTATATTTCCAACAAAACTGGAATCTGCTCCTGAACCGAAAAAGTTTGAGTCTGTAAGTTCTCGGATTGTTTTAATTATGTTAAGAACTTTACTTTTTATTCACAAAATGAAACAGCATAAAGGTGAATAAACAAGGCTGTATTATTTTAGATGAATTACTTTAGTAACAGATTATTTATTTCTCTGAATACCAAACTTTACTTAATCGTCAGTCAATTGAGATAACAGTTAAAAACATCGGTAAGCAGAGAGAACAGTTGTTGTACTTGATATGGCGTCTAAAATTTTATCTACCCTCTAAGTGTTGATAGCGCTTTCTAAGCAAGTTTTTTTCACATGATGAGATTGCTAACCCCGTGCCCAACCGTCATCCTTTACCTGGTCATGTGACCGATAGTAACCCTAGAAGAGCTACTGGTGGAGGCTGATCACTGAGATTCAAGAACAGAGGAACTGGTGGATAGAAGTCTTTGAAGAACTTTTGAATAGACCAGCTCCATTGAATCCACCAGACATCGCACCAGTACCTACAGATGTAACTACCAACGATCGAAGTAATCAGGGTGGCCATCAGACAAATCAAGAGTAGGTAAGCAACAGGACCTGACAATTTACAACCTGAATCGCTGAAGTCAGACACAGAAGCAACTACAGACATGCTCCACATTCTATTCAGGAAGATTTTGGAGGAAGAACGGGTGCCGATGAACCGGAGAGAATGATATCTCATCAAGATACCAAATAAAGGAGATCTGAGCAAGTGCGAGAACTACGGAGGCATCTCACACTACTATCGGTACCGGGAAAAGCCTCCAACAGAATGTTGCCGAACAGGATGGAAGATTTAGCTGACAACCAGCTTCGAGATCAACAAGCCGGATTCCGTAAGGATCGGTCGTGCACGGACCGAATCGCGACATTACGGATCATCGTTGAACAATCAATCGGATTGAACTCGTCACTATACATCAACCTCCTTGACTATGAGAAAGCATTTGACAGTGTGGATAGGAGGACCTTATGCAACCTTCCTCTTCACTGTAGTGTGAGTAGCTGGGAAAATCGTCGGCATCATTCGAAATTCATGTGACGGATTACACTGCAAATTCGTGCATAGAGGACAGCTGATAAATGTATTCCAAGGGAGGACGGGAGTCAGACAAAACTGCCTACTCTCTATCTCCTGGTGGTTAACTGTATTTTAAAGACCACATCTCAAGTGTAGCACGGAATACAATGGACAACTTGGACGCAACTAGACAATTTGGACTTCGTAGATGACCTAGCTCTTATATCTCATACACACGAGCAAATGCAGATGAAAACAGCCAGTGTAGCAGAAGCCTCCGCATCAGTAAGTCTCAACATACAAAATGGAAGAACCAAGATCCTAAAATATAACACAATGAACACCAATACAATCACACTTGATGGACAAACTCTGGAACAAGTGAAAACTTTCACGTACCTGTGTAGCATCATCGACGAACAAAAAGTATCTGATGCAGACGTAAAGGTAAAGATTGGTAAAGTAAGGACAGCATTCACACAGTTGAAGAAAATATAAAACTCAAAAAAACTGTCAAAAAATATCAAATTCGGAATCTTCAACACGAACGTCAAGAAAGTTCTACTATGGGAAGCTGAAACGTAGAGAACTACCACAACCATCATTAAAAAATACAAGTATTTATAAACAGTCGTCTACACAATATACTGAATATCAGTTTGCGGAGTACCATCAGCAGCGGCCTACTGTGGTAGAGAAAAAACCAACATCGAGTTCAAGAGGAAATGAGGAAAAGTAGTCGGAGGTGAGTAGGACATACATTGATGAAATCATCAAACTTTTTCACAAATCAAGTGCTAACTTGGAATCCTGAAGGGGAAAGGAAAAGAGGAAGACCAGAGAACACACTGCTCCGAGATTAGGAGGCAGACATCAAAAGGATGAATAGCAACTGGAAAGGATTGTTCAGAACGGAGTTGGATGGCGAATGCTGATGGGCGGCCTATGCTCCTCTACGAGGGTAACAGGCGTAAGTAAGTAATAAATTAAGATAATGATAATTTTACTCATGGATTTGATGAATTGAGAGAACTTAAGTTTATTGAAGTCAACCCAAATTCACTTATTCAACCATAACTGAACGATTGTATTGAATAATGATATATAGAATATATCGATTGTGAGTTCAAATCTCATTAATAAAAACAACATACATATCTATCTATTTGATGAAATGAACACTTTGAAATATGCATCAATAACTATTATAATGCAGAATGCTAAGTGAATAACGCGATGACTCTCAAAGCGAACTGTGTTCGAGTTGCGGAGTGAACATCAACTCTGAGATGCAAGTACATCCAGCTGACGAGTCCCAAATAGAATGAAACGTTTGTCCTGGATCCCACTGTTGGCGATCATCCATCTTTGCTTGTAATCTTTGTGACTCATTAGCACCCTCATATGTCTTATACTCAAACATTTTGTTTACATAACGATATATTCTTATTCCTGTTTTATTGCGTATAACAATCATTATTCCTTCCCCTCATTAAAGGTTAATGTAGATTCAGTAAATAAGCGTTCTTCGGCTTACGTACCTCCGGTTCTTCGTAATCGTTCTGCAGTAGCTGTACAATCATTGAAAGCATCCAATATGATTGATCATGGAAAAATTTCTACCCACTCTTTTAACAATAATAATTCTAACATTGGAAAATTGAATCCAAGCAAAAGTATGTTGGTTGTCCAATAACATTTCATTCTTTTTGATATGTTATAAAAACATAGTATTCTGATAAATCACTTATTATCGGAATGGGGGTTTGTGAAGATTGTATTAAGTTTAGTAGTTGATTTTATGAATCGATTTAAGCTAGACTACCATTTAAATCTTGGAAACACTGGATAGTCATGTCGTCCTATTACGGGACTACTCAGCAGTGCACATCCGGGATCTCACATGTGGGACTCGAACCCAGGACCCTTGGTGTCGCGCGCGAATGCTTAACCTCTAGACCATTGAGACGATATCCAATGGTGTTAATGTCTAACTTCAATCGATCCATGATCTTGTGCAACTATTCATCAATTGTATGAGGTAGATATATGTTTCTCCTCAACATGGATTGGATTCCACCGGTTACGGCTTCTCACTAGAACTCCAGGTTTTCAATGGTGATTTAACTTAGATTGACTTATGAATTCAACTATTAATATTTCATATTATCTATTTTAATCCGAAATCTTTCCATGATATTAATTGGAAATAAATTATAACCTAAGCATATATTGATTATGTATGGCTAACCATCTTGTTTTGATACTCATGAATTAACTTATGTTGTGAACATTAAAAAAACACGTATATAGTGGACTTAATTCTGGAATAATTAGAAATCTTTGAATGAAAGTGCAAAGCGTTTTTTTTTTCATTTCATTAATCCTGGCTGAAAGTGTTAAAGTTCACTGAAATGATTTTTCCTATTTGTGTTAATCTATTTATTACTTTAAGGGTTGTTTTTCATATAAATCAAAAAATAATAACTATTTTATTGTTTGAAACAAAATCGGACATAAACACATTCTAATCCAACTAAGCCTCTTATTAAAAGTAAATAAAAATAATCAATAATTCTCATATACAACTGATTTTCCATGTATTAAAAGTCATAACCAACTAAATGACCTCAAATGTGTGTATATTGTCTAATATTAGTCATCGTAAACAAAGCATGTGACCTAGACCAATAGGTCTGTTTACAACATTTAGTACAATAATAGAAGGTCATACTGATATTTAGAAACAAAAAATCCAACTAGGATTGGTTAAACGGATCATTGAATTTTTTTTACAGTTAACTGTAATGATTAGTAAAACCTTGGCAGTTGTAAAACATGTTTAAAGTCACTTTGTATGTATAACATGGAATTGATGCTTACAAATTCCATTGAACTATTTAAATGTCAGTCAAAAAATTTAAACATCAAATCGAACTGTATGCATGAATAGTAATATATGGTTTCAAAATTCAAACTAAATGATTCGAACAAGAGTAGGTAGCATTAGACAGTTGTTTCATCCTAGTATGTACATTCATATCATTAGGGGTTCAACCCAAGACATGTTTAGACTTGATGCTAATGTATTCACTATTTCGATCGAAAAATCAATTATGCCAATCAAGATTTCTAGTCACTAAATAACAGTCTCATAAAACAAATGCTATTCATTGCGTCCTGTACTAGTCTGTATCTGTGAAACGTAGATGACACGTAGACTAGAAGTGTTTGGTCATGGGTGTCTCTGAATCTAACCAATGATGGCGTATCGATTAATGAGGTTGTGATTTACCACTAATTTAGATGGTAACGTCATTTGTTACTTGAACTGAACCACCACCTAAGTAGGTATACGATGCTGGCCTGGTTAGATTGGTATCCTTAAAGACATTTATTGTCGAATTGGGCCATCATGACTGATGTAAATTACATGATTCCAATCACCCATGACAGAAGCGACCAGTGGGTGAATTCACTACGATACATAATTCAGCACCGATCATTGATACAATCTGTTTCCCTCCAAAGATGTCACGGATACGCAACGTTTAACAACACTACTGTCCGCAATCTCTTCTTACGTAATGATTTCGAAGTCAGTCAAGCAAACCAAAAGTCAAGGTTGATGTAACGCAAAAGCACGTGAGTCATATGATGTAATGTCTCAAAGTTTAAAATGTAAGCTTAGTTATCGTAAAAAATGCACAGCACTGGGTGTTCAAAGGTAATTGGGTGCAAATTATTGACCGAGTACCTTCAATCATGGACGTATTCAAATAAACCAATGTTGAAAACTTACAAAGCCATTTGTTGTAAGGAACATATTTGCCCCTTTATTTCTAAAAATTTTATCATCAATTCGTATTTCTTAAACTCGAACTCATCTCTTGTTTTCGAACATACTCATTATAATATTAAGCCTTTCCCATTATTAAAACGAAGACTACTTCGACTCAATTTGATGTTCACAACTTTCTAACTTCGTGTTGCCGTACTGATTTAGTTGTGGAAATTGGACCGCCACTCCAGTGGTCAGGAGACTAAGCGTTTGCGGCCGAGACTGGATGTCCCGGTGGGGCACTCGCGAAGAGAATCAGTTGTTGTCTTAGTTTGAAATCTCAATAACGACCATACTTTGTGCTCAAACTACGTAATAATAAACACCAACTAGTTTTTTTTTGTGATATAACCACGGAGTCTCACAAGCTTACTTGCTTATGAAACATGGGTTTACTGTCCAGTACTAGACTTATTATGGTTCACCTTTCATTCCTGTGTGGAACTTGGTCCGCTAATTCACCTCAATTATTTCAACTACCTGATAATCTTTTTATTTCTACTCCATAAAGTCATGGGACTCAAGTGATGTCGAGTTCAATGAACTCTTTAAACCTAAAAATTCGTATTACTTCTCTAATGAATGATATAAAATTAAGACATGATAAAATCACGTTTCGTAGAACTCGCTAGCTTGTTATTTTGAATCTTGTTTAGCTAATGGTTCAAATCAGAAAACCGCATTATCTTCAAATAAACCTGCCCAGACTGGTGTTACAGATCCAACTTCATCCAATAATAAATGCGCCCACCCAGCTGCATCAGACCCAAAAAACCAAAAGCAAGTCAATCAGATATATAAAGTGAGTTCATTGTCGCATTCTATCCAATCTCTTTATTTACATATGTTTGATATTATGCCTACTACAACGTTTCGGCCCCTTGCATTTTATCATTACTCCTACTGGCGCTTTCAGATAGACTGTAAATTAATATATTGGTACTTTTGTTTTCACGACTTCAAACGATAAGTTCTTTTTAGTCAGCTAACAGATTTTGCGCCCATAATATTCTTATTTGGAGGTGGTGTTCGTCACTGATGTAAATGTCAGTTGACATTTCTACAAAAACCAGTGCATATTTTTGCTATGGCGGGTGTTACTATCGCTACCCATAACATTGTATTGACAGTAGTTAGTGAACGTTTAGCTTAAACTTATTCACTACTTCTAAGGCTTGTACTGTCCGCAACCTAAAAGCTGAACAATGTCTCATACATTTTTTTCGTACCAGAACAGACGTGATCGACAAAAGAAACTAGCACAAAGATAGCTGCAAATGATGAGTGACAGTAGTATCCTTGATGCTTGGACAAACCAGTGTATTGTGATTGATTGTGGAATGTCACTCGCGACTTCAAACTGATACATGACCCTTGTCAATCGTTATTATACTTATGGATGCGAATTGACTCAGTGACCTCGATTAGTGCTGTTCACCTAACTTCTATCCCTGGCTTATTAAATACACGACGGATTTCATATACATGTGCTTGAATGACAATGACACATTAGTTCGTGAAAAGAAAGGTAGAAAGCAAATTTAATCTCACGATTCAACTTTATACATCGACTCTACTCTAATCGATCTTACAACATGAAAGAATCTCCAGTCATCTTAACATCGCCTAATAGAATTACTAACTATAAAAAATGGTAAAAAACGAGTTGGATTACAAATTATAACAGTATATATCTACATTACACCTTGGCGTAGTTATACTTTGCATTATTTCTCCTTGCTTAATAACAGAAACTGACGCAGATTGAGAAACTAAAAACAGAACAAGCATCCGGAAAAGCTTTGGCGTATAACCAACTGGACAAAATCGCGAGTGAGAAACAACTCCGGGATGAATTAGCTAAACTATGCTTATAAAGACCATGTTGAATTTTTATTAAATTTTTCACGTTTTTATTTGGAGTACATTTGCGTCGTTGTTCTTAACTGTGAAGATTAATAAGGTAAACAACCTAAGTGATCTAATACGAAGTTTTCACCATAAAAATTGTTACCCGAAGAGAATATAGCACGATTCTATATGAGTGCCGTTACATAATAAATCCGGTAATAGATCACCACAAAAGCCGTGGTCTAGTCAGCATTATTACCAGCATCTGTGAAGAACGCCCACTAAAATGAGTCTGGAATCATGTGCAAGCATATCAACTCAACACTAATTGAGGGCTAAAATATTAACAGTTAAATGGTATCCATTAGCGGGAGACTGATTCAGACGCTTAAAATATGCTCTGAAACAATCACCTTACAATCCAGACCACATTGCTAAATTATACTTTCTAGTAATTTGTTCAATATAAATGTTCAACATAATAACAGGTACGTTGAGGACTAAACGGAAGCAGTTAACAACATGCACATGATGCAATAACTTACTAGTATTTTCACCCTAGCTTCCTAAATTAGAGAGGGCACAACGCGCACGCGTTTATTTCGCCATCAAACCACTAGAGCCCCGTAAAGCAAATATACTGATGAATCTATTTAGCTTAACACACACGCGTGCCGCAGAGAACCTGCACACGATTAATGCATAACAGTGCGATTTAAAGTCAAACTAGTGCTTGGTGTATTTTGGCACTGATTGTGTATATTCTACGAATTATTTGCAACGACTCATCGAATGGATTTTACCCAACACTACGTTGATGCAAAAGCATTTCTCGAGGACAGTTTTTCTACAAAACCAAGTTATATTTTATTTAAAACAGATTATAGGACAAATTCGGAGTAAAAACACATGCTCTAAGCGAAGCTTACTCGGACTGGGAGCAGTCACTAAGTTTTTAATTTCCAACGAAAATTTATTTTAGATACATATAAATGCATATGTCGTGATATCCACAGAAAAATGACTTTCAGCTAGAACAAGGTATTACGAGATAAAATGTACAAATTAGACATTAAAAAATGCAATATGTACAACATAGATTGAAATTAATATGGGCTGGAGTAATAACCACCATTGTCCCTCACACCATATCCTCGACTACGATCCCGTGGATTGCGTTCTTCAAATCTCCTTGAGAAATCACCACCAGCCTAATAGCCAATTATAAAAAAACGAATATTAGTCTCTTTGAACAGTATGCTTTCGAAGTAGTGTAAATCAATTAGAAAACGGAAGTATAGACTGTCAGACGATGTTTTGGTAACTTACCAACAATATGATCACTATGTACGTTGGCTCACAAAAACCCCACAACACGACCCCATTATCATTACGATAAGCTGCTAATATATCACTAATTGAGACTGTAAGGTATCTCAGCTAAGTGCACTATTGTATGTTCTATACCCACCACATCAACACAAATATAATAAACTAGCTACACGTGGAGTGAAAATAATATCGAGTCCCATGATATTACCAACGCAATTCGTATAAACGTGCGTACAAATTTGAACGATGGAAAATACAGTGACTTAGCGTGATTAGCATCAGAATGAAGAAAGAATGCATTTATAAATTCTCAAATTTTTGCAAATCTACATGGCTCGGACGTGTTGCGTTTGTCGAATTTCTTTGATGTATAACCTAGTTAGTATAATGTATATTGACATGCTGCCTTAGCATGTTTTTATGAACTTTAAAAATAACACTTTTATATGCACACCAGTTTAGCAGATTCTAGCGTTCTGCAATTGAACGATAACCATTTCATCCCTGATACGAGGCATGTTAGGTATCTTGTTACCAAATACAACCACTTACAAAATACTTATTCCATTAGTCGATATCAATGTGGAAGTCAGACTTTAGTTTGAAAATTGTTCAAGAATTTTAATCGCACTTTGTAAGACAGTGTAGTCTTTCATAGTTAACTTTGAGTCTACTGCTTATACGTTGGTCCAGGTGGCTACACATCATTGGTACGGAGATTGAATTTAATCAGATGAGTGTTTAGGAGAGTTATGTGGCAGTAGTGATACTGGTTAAGAAGGAACATTAGATTCAGATTTGTGTAGTAAGGACAGAAGGCCTACGGCCTATGTTATTCCTTTTCTAGTATGCTTCTGTGAGTGTCCAGTCTTCTCTTGAAAGAGTCAATTGAAGGTGCGGATACCACTGCTTCAGGCAGCAGGTTCCAAGTATTGATGACTCGGTGTGCGTATGGAAGTGCACTAATACTAGTGTAGTCAGAGCAAGCAGTTTCCGTGACTTGACGCTGTACGTAACGTAGATAGGGACTAAACTGTGGTATGAACAATCTAACTGGCATCCACACTGACAGTATGACAAACACTACTAATGCACCTTACTTATCTCTCAGATAATCAGATCAAGCCCTAGCTATGCAAAAACTTATTGATATGCGTGATACGACATTACTAACTTCTTCAGACATCATTACCAAAGCCTCAGAGTAAACCAAGCATTTATTATTATACGCAACAGTACTGACCCTGGCCCCGTCGCGACCTCTACCTCTTCCACGATACGATCCAAACCCATTACTTCTATAACCATTTGAGTCATTTCTATCACCGCGCGCTCCATACTCCCTGGGACTTCGCCCGTAAGGACGATCCGCCGCATACGCACTACCCTGTGAATTTTAAGAATGCCTGATATATAAAACGTACCTTCACCGGCCTTCTGTCAGGCCCAGTGACATCGGAGGCCTCTACACCTTTGTCCCCCTCAACAACAAAAAATTCAACTTCTTCATTTTCCTGAAGGGAGCGCTGCATTTTCCCTGGGTTATTTCTCGAAATAGCTGTTTGATGCACGAATATGTCGGATGAGGTATCAGACCGAGTAATGAAGCCATATCCAGCCTTCACGTTAAACCATTTGACAACTCCTCTAACCCTGTCATCGGTCATTTCACGAGCTGCATTGCGACTCTTTCTATCGCTCATATTAAACTAACTAAATGTCCCAAAGAAGCCCTTGTCGTCGGACTTCAAAAACAGCGGCTCAATGAACTATCTGTGTCTCCTTCATGTTTGGAGGCCATTTAAACAAGTGGATGAAGAATGTGTGATTTATTGTGGCTGATGAGTGAATATAATGCATCTTCTGAACTTGTCAGCACTAAACTACTAGTTTATTAGGTTAATATGTTGGATCTTTGAGCTATTAGAAAGTAAATGGCACTAGTTCAGTTGCAATATGGTGCACTAAGATACACCAGTTAATGAATTAACACTGAAGTATCAATATCTAGACATGTTATTGCTTTTCTGGTATGCTTCTGTGAGTGTCCAGTTTTCTCTTGAATCATTCGATTGAAGGAACTGATAGGTTCCTAAAATTGATGACTTGGTGTGAAATCCTGTATGCCACGAGTATATTGTTCGTCCTTGGTTTTTCTACTCGCCTGCTATGTCCTCTGAGATGCTATTGGAAGAAACATAGAGAACATATTAGGTTTAAAATCACTTCTCATTATTCTATACATCAAAGTTAGGTCACCTCTTAGTCTGCGATAGGTCAGTGTAAAGACGTCTAGCTTTTCAAGCCGCTGTTTTTATGGTAAACCCCGGAGTTCTGGAATTGCATGGGTGGCCGCACTCTGTACTTTCTCCAGGATACCCAAGTCACCTTTTAAATAAAAGTTTGCAGCCTGGACGCATTTCTCATGTTTAGTTCTCACCGAGGTTGTGTTCACTGTGTCGAAAATGACAGTATCTAACTCGGTGGATGTCCCTCTTAAAGCCCAGAGTGTTCTGATCCTCTAGCTGCGTCCTCACGGCAATAAACCATGGCCTTAAGATCACGACTCACTGTCACCCTGTGATCCTTATGAGACCGTACTGCGGGTACAGGCACTTACCTTGTGCTGTGCCTATTTCCCTTTGCATCGCGAAACTACATGTGGACTCATTTTGGCGCGTTGATAAGTATCAGCCACTCTTTAAACCAGTTAATCACATTATTTACGTCTATCTGAAGTGCTCACGCACTTACTACCCGCCATATTTTTACATTGTCAACATTGGGGACTGCACTACACTTGGAAGATCATTTACATACAGTATAAAAAGTAAAGGACCTAAGACAGAACCTTGAGGTACTCTACTATGTACTGGTTTCCAGTTCGAGCACTTGGAATTTATTTTTATATTTCGTATTCAACTTACTAGAAAATCCTTAAGCCATATGAGGAGAGGTCCGTATACCAAGATTTTCCAACTTCAATAGCAGTCTATTTGTTGACACCTTGTCATATGCCTTACTGAAGTCTATGTAGACAACATCCACTGAGTTTCCGTTGTCTAGCGCCCTTATTCAATGCTCCTTTTCTATGAAGGGGTTTGTTGTGCAAGATAAGCCTCCTCTAAATTCATGTTGTTCGCTGCTTAACAAGTTGTTGGTTCCCACGAATGTCATCAGGTCTAAATTTTTCTTACTGTTGGTTACCACTGTTTTCATATGTTTGAACAAGAGAACATTAGGCTGACTTATCAGTTTTTTGACTTGATGCTTCAAACTCAATAAACTTTCCTCCTTTTAAACTGTAATTATAAATTCTGTAAACAAAATATCATTGTCGTGTAACGGTAAATATATCCTCAAAATAGTTCCCTAAGTACTCTACATTGATACTGACCTCTTTAGTTTTACGAAACACACCCAGCTGAAGGCATTCAGTCACGCATCTGGACCATATCACTACTGTGCATCCGTTGCAACTATCAGCCATCTGAGGCTAAACACCTCCAGATACATTGACGGACTTCCAAATATATCTTCAAACCACTGCATTTTCGACTTCTGTTCACATTGAGTTTACACTCCTTGGTTATAAATGTGTTACATGTGAGATCCTTGTCAAACTTCGAATAGCTGTGGCATCTCTAAAAGTGAGACCAACGTGATCTGTACACGAAATGACAAATTCTGTGTGTGTAAGATATCACCTTTCGATTTTTTTACATGTAGCTATATTGTTTCGATATTTTCGGATATTTCCCACTTATTTATATATATCTCACCTTCGTCATGACGGAAAAACACTCAAGCTATTAAAGATTTGGACTCCCCCCCCTCCATTTTTCAACTCATGCTATTCTGGCTCGAAAAAATATAGGCTTGGTTCTGCTAAGCAGATGCTGACTACGTCGAGCGTGACATGGCAGACCCATGTATACAGTCGTCGCAGTATTGGAGGTATACCACGCCTAAGGTACTTACTAGTGATGTTTCTAAACCCTACGATATTTAAAGAAATCTTTACTCAAACGTGAGTTCGTAACCATCAGACAGAGTAAGACCAAATTTTCCGCAACATCGAATTGCAACACTACTCAGCGACAAAGATGTGGCTACGTATACGAAAGGCCAGTGGTTGATCGGCCTTTGATGAAGCCTTGTTACGACAACTCTTCTTGCCCCAGCTTCCTAAATACGTGCGATCAGTCCTTGTCACTTTTCAAAATAACTCTGCAGACGAACGGGTTGCATCCGACGACCAGAGTTTTGAGATCAGCAGAATCTCCAGCACCGAGGTTTTTATGTCAAAAAAGCCTCAACTAACTCTATATGACATCAGAAAACCTCTGTCACACACACTAGTTATCTTAATACTCATCATAATCACAGACGCTCCGAAACGCCCTGAAGAAGTACGTTGCAGTGCTCAAAGTGTTTCTTAACCACCTCAAATAATCTTAGAAACAGTTATTTATTTGTCTACTTGAATGGGGTTTCTGTGTGTCGGTTTCTGACTGAAATTCATTGATGAGAGCTAATGAAAACCCACAATCTACCTACTTCAGAGGAAAATGAATCAGACAACTTATTACTATGTCGAGGATTTCATCCACTTAGTTTGCAATGGAGTTTTGCTCACAGGTTAGTTACCGACCCAAAGTCGCTGAACCAGTAATGCCACAAAGGCGACGTTAATTTGCCCAGTCGATCTGCATTAGGTTCCCCAACACTGGTTACACCTTCATAATTTGTCATAATAAGCCTTCGTATTTTTACAGAAGTTCCCAGATTTTCAGACATTTGACCTGAATGTGAACAAATGTGGGCTTATTTACAATGGCCACAGCCTTAAGCTAGACCTAGCTATATACGAACACAGTGAAACTTCTCAGCACTGTTCATAATTTGCGTTTTAGGTATAGCACCAGTCTGAACTTTTTCGTGTATATCACATCTCAAGTATCTAAACAAGAAAGCTAACTGGATGCGTAATAACAAATTTCAGTAACATCTAGTCGAGATTATTACTTTACAAAATGTGGTATCCTAGTTTCCAGTAGTTGCCGACATAGTGACTCGAGGAGATTTGAGAAAACCCAAGATGGTTTATTCACAACACTTATGTATCGATAAGCTGTTTTTGAATAGTAATCGTTTAGGCAGCTGATTCAGTTCAACGTTTGGCTGATCACACGCTATGAGCCGAAAAGCTATTTAGAACAAATTGTTTATGGAACTAAAAATTTCCTTTCATATTTATTCTATTTATAGCAGTAAGACGAAGTAGATTACAATCACTAAGTGGTTCAGGTACTTGTCGCCTTACATTTTATTGAGCATTCCCTCAAGCACTGTTTTTTAAATGAGGGATATTAGAGATCTTTATTGACGTTCAGCCAAACATCCATTAATATACAGGAATGGGATACTACTGATTTTGATATAGTTTAATTTTCGTAGAAGCCTGTTATGTGTAACTCTGTAGTGGCATTGATTTGTATTCACATTATTTTTGAAGCCGAGCATATTACTGTGGTCATTTATATTCAACATGTAACACACAAGGGCCAACAATGGTGAATTCGGAAACAAATGAATCGAGATAATACGGCGGGACCATGCACACAGGTTCAACATATATAATCTCTTGAATTCGGCATTGATTATGTTTCACTCTACTAAAATCAAATGTATTCTTAAGACATATTAGAAGTCGTGTTCCTGATTGTCAGGTAAGACGGGTTGCTAAGTAATATGATATGTAGGTGGTTGGTTGTTTGTTTGGTCAGACTAGTAAATAATCTGAAAGTGTTGGATGATTTATACCCTCATTAGTATTGTCTTGTCGTCGGATTTCGCTGTGGGAATATACATACGTTCTAGTTAGGCCAGTCACGTATTCTTGATCTGAATTATACTGAAGTGATGTAGAACAGATAATGCAAGGGTATCTAGTGTAGATATTCGTATGAGGCACGTTTATTTAGCGCTCGTTTGTGTGGGCATGCGGAGCCATATATCATTTATTTTTTCACGTCAGTACAAATCTTAACTTTTAGAATTAGGTCTACTTTTAAGGTAGCAAATCTAAGCATACTAATAACGAACTATACCATACTTCTTTATTTTTATGACAAACCTTTCTGTGTTCAACGAAGCCTACATCCATTATTTGCCTCAGTTTCTGTAGATCACAACAATTTTCTGGCGCTACTGTCACATTTGTGAGACGCGAATACTTTGTTTCATAATCATTATGGATTTCAGAGAGAATAGACGATCGTATTCCACCGATTCATTTTGAAACTTTTCTTTTTTCATGATGATTTCAAAATATTAAATGAGAAAGATTAGTTCAACGAAGAGTTCTCTTTTCGGCGAATTCATTTTCGAAGCTGTACAATCGCAAATATATATACTTATTTTTACAGGATGATAATAATACTTATAATAAACTTGTTATTTAACCTCACTGTCACCATGTATAACAAATTTATTATCAGTATTATTATCATCCTGTAAAAATAAGTATATGTGTTTGCGATTGTACAGCTTCGAAAATGAATTCGCCGAAAAGAGAACTCTTCGTTGAACTAATCTTTCTTACTTAATGTCTTAATGGGTGTATTCCGTTTATTAAAAAATTTCAGAATAGTTAACTCGATTCAATCTTCTACCGATGAAAGCTATATATATGTAGTAA